CCCGTTTCCTCTCAGCATCGGACTGCTCAAGTTGGTTTTGCACATGAGCTTTCGCCCGCCTGCTCTCAGCAACAAGTTACAAAATTCTCTGGTTTGGTTGGACTGAATTTTCTCTGGGTTGTTGGACTGAATTTTCTTTGCGTTGAACCTAGAGAAATTTGAATTTTCTCTGGGTTGGACGTGTATATAAGAACCAGTTTGTGTGTATACTTTTAAAAAACAATTTTGTAAAATTCAAGGATTTATAACAGAGGAGGAATAGTAGGTATAGCATATCAATCAACATAAGAACTGCAAATTTACAAGAGGATTTGGAAGTTTCATGAACATGCATGATAACTAGCTTTATCAATATTATCTCTCCAGAGAAATTTTGAAATTTCTCTGGATCCTTTGAATAATTTTTTAATGCAGTACCTAACCGATATAGCCACTGTATACAGATGCAGTTGAAGTTCACCAATCCAGAGACACTAGTTAGTCGCAATCTCAGAAGCATGCAAGGAGGTTTTCACACAACAAAACCAAAAAGACAGATAAATACATATATTTCTAGTTCAAAGCCCTTCAAGGTGGCTATAACCATCCATTACACTTCAAACAGCCGCAACTCAAGGAAATTGGCCATCTTCTCTATTCCCTCGGCTTCGGCATAGCCTTCTTCACAGTTTCTCTGGTTTGGTTGGTCTGAATTTTCTCTGGGTTGTTGGACTGAATTTTCTCTAGGTTCAACCCAGAGAAATTTGAATTTTCTCTGGGTTTGATGTGTATAAAAGAACCAGTTTGTGTGTATCAAAATAATCAGAGGGAGCAGGATTGACTATAGAGGTGAGTAACCTATACTCCAATGAATTGGATGAATAACCCCCTTTCCGATTCAGGTCTGAAAAAGCAAAATCCCGGGCAATAGAAACAACAGTATTCTGAGGAGGAGTCCCTCCAAGCATAGACGGAAGCATGTGATATCGCACAATCCCCTAATCTAGACAGCAGATCCTTTGACAAACTACATATTTCTGAAGGTGCAATTGTTGGCACTGCCCCTGACAACTCTAGAGAGGAAAAGGCCGATAGTATTCCCCATTCTGGGAAGAATCTGACACTTGAAACACTCTTTGGGTCTGCTTTCATGAAGGAGCTGCAATCAGCCAAAGCACTAGCTTCCATCCAAAGGGGCTTGGTTGGTTCTGCAGGAATCGATATTTCAGAACAGTAAGGGCTACCTTTTGGAATCATGGATGATACTCTCTTCCCGACTTCCACAGTTGGCGAGGGAGACGAGCTGCGAAGAGAGAGAGTTAAGTTCGTCGCAGGATTTGGAGTTGAGGAAGGAGAGCAACTGGTCAAGGGTTGGGGATTTGGAGCTAGCAGTGATCAAGCTCAGGACAACGTGGATGGAGAGGGAATGGGGTGAGGGACCTTAGACTACAAAAGAACACATTGTGGACCTAATCCATTACTAAAAGTTGGATAGGGACCTTAGACCGATTTTCCCAAAAATTTATCCAACACTAAAAAATAATTTTATCTTTTTATTTCATCCTAATCAAATATAATAGCTCACTAATTTTATTCAATTATTTACCATCCTTCATAACCCTATATATGGAAAACAGCAAAACCCATTGGAAGCTGAGACATGAAATCAAAACAGCAAACCAAAAATTTTTAAAAAAAAGAAAAAAATTAAAATTAAAAACAGAGAGGAGAACTGAATAATATGAGTAAATAAATAAACGAATTAAATTAAGATTTTAAAATTTTCTGTCGGAAACATAAATCATATGATACTATAAATGAATGAATTAGAAAGAGAAGAACTGAATTTGAATTCTCATTTTATTATGTAAATATTTCTAACTATCCCAAGAAAAGAAAAGAAAAGAGAAAGTATTGGTTAAATCATTATATGGAGAGGGAGAAAGATGTTCTTTGAAAAAGTGTTGTTTTATTGGAAATGTTTGTTTGTTTGTTTTTTTTCTCCTTGAATTCTTGTTTTATTGGAAATGTTTGTTTGTTTGTTTTTTTTCTCCTTGAATTCATACAGTTAAAAAAAGGAAAAAAAAAAGTTTTTCTACTGCTTACTTCAGTTTATATAAGAAGGTGTAATTTTTTAAGGAACACCTGGAAACTATTAACCTCTAATAAAATTCATGATAGTCTAATGACAAAACTATTTGGGTGGAAAATGATTTTAACATCCAGCCAAAAGTTTATGCTCTTTAGAACAGAAAAATGAACATTGGATGGTCTACTGCATTTTTAGAAATTGATGCTGAAGTTGGGTTCTAAAGTATATTGGAGAATATGGTTGTGTACATGGTCTATAGGCCATGTTTGTTTACCCGCGCGTGGGAGATCACAGCTTGTTTAGTGATGATTTGGGAAGGGGAGTAATAGTCCGAAGTAAGACCGTCAATAAGATCAGATTTAATCCTAATCTGCCCGAATCCAATCTGAAAATCTAATCCGATAATCCGAATCCGTTTAATCCGTTTATTAAACGGATTGAATACGCAAAAATCCAATCCGATCCGATCCGATAATTCAAGAATCCGATCTGATTATTAAAAATTTAAATGAAGAAAACATAAAATGAAAAAAAAAAAAAAAATCAAATTACATAAAATTATAGCTCAATAAATAAATAAATGGATCGGATCGGATATTCGAAATCATCAGACTCGGATTCAAATATATATAATCGGATATGAGCTAAACGGATTCGGATCGGATTCAAATTTTTCTTAATTGGATCGAATTCGGATTTTGACAGATCCGATCCAAATCCGATCCATTTATAAGCCTAGTCCGAAAGACTTACTAATCCCCCTCAGTAGGGTGTTAACGTCACTCCTTATTTTCTTTTATTTAGGCCAAGTTTGACTATCCTAAATAAGCACACACTTTTTATCTTTTTTCCATCACATCATCTCTCTACTTTTTCTGCACATCTTTTCGTAAAAAGACAAAAATTGTACTTATTTAGGTCATCCTAAACAACCACTTAGTATGGGTACAGAACTGCTCTAGTTCAAAAAAAAAGTTCAATTTATTTTTCCTTCATGTTTTTTTATTTGATATAATTTACTCACCAAAATTCCTTTGATTGCTCTTGATGATAATAATTCATCTTGTAGAATTAAAATCAAGAAAATTGTATCAATTGTCTTGTGAAATTCTAAACTGGCCAGAATATATGAATGGAGGAAGAGAGTACACAGAAATGCAAACAAACACAGAAATCACAAAAATCAGAAATCGCGAGTGAACACCGAAATGGCGACTGAGATTCAAAGAAATTGGGCCGTAATTCGAAATTAATAGCAAACAAATCAGAATAATTTGATAACTTATGCTGATGGAAGACCTAAATATACGAGGAGCAGATTTGTTGAGTAAGAACACAAATTGCAGAGTATTCACAGGACAGTTCTTATAAAACCCCAACCTTCTACTACTGTAGAACTCTCCAGAATAGATCTTTTTTCTTTAGATAGACTTCAAAATAGACTTTGATTTAAGTATTAAGGTCATGTTTTTTTTTTTTTTTTGGGGGGGATATAATTTGCCCTTATTTATATTAAATAGATAAATACATGAATAATTTACAATCACACTGAAATAGGGTATTAGTAATACCAAGGGACTAATAGTCCCAAGGCCTTCTCCCAAAACAAACAAGACTATTACTAATACCTTGGTATTAACAATCTCAATACCTTCTCTGTCACCCAAAACAAACGGGCCTTAGTATTGTAAAACAGTCCAGAATATAATTTTTTTTTAGGCCGACTCTAGACTTTGATTTAAGTGCAAACTGTTACTATTAGAGATGATGTAAGGCACGGGACAAACGTTAAAATAAATTTGTTTACATCTTTAACTATAACATGCGAGATTTTTTATCTTAAATTATTAATTTGTATCAATATAAATATTTTATTAAGGCCTTGTTATATAAATAGATGAGAAATTGACATATTATTTACACATGACATCTCAAATAGAATATTATTTTGTCATTAAAATTCAAATTAAAAAAATTAATAGATGAAAGGGTTAAACGTTATAATTTTCAATTAAAGTGGTGAAGTGATATGGACTATAGGGGGATATAATTTGCCCTTATTTATATTAAATAGATAAATACATGAATAATTTACAATCACACTGAAATTTATTTAAAATATAAATTACTTTCTACAATTTTGAAAATTATATCTCAATTTCTAATTGCATAACAAATTATCTTTTTATTTATAAATCATTAAATCAATTAATAATTTTAACGATATCAAAAGTATAAATTTTTTTTTTTTTTTTTGGTTGCATAGTTTTTTTTATTTTGCATAGTAGACAACAATTAAAAATTATGACTTTATAATTTTTATAATTACTGAGAATAATTAATGAGGCCGCTTTTTTTTATTTTGTTTTGTTTTGTTGTGTATGTGTAACAGTTCGTGGGCGCAGCGCTAGCCCAATGTTGAGCAATTTTCATACACAGCTTCTTTTTGTTTTTGAACTGAATTTTCATACACACCATGAGAATAATAAACAGTAAAATAGGGAAAAAAATCATGGGCAATTGTGAAAGATGAAAATACAAGCCATCAACCCTCCAGCATTTCTTGTGTATATAGATATAGATATGTCACTTCATATTGCCTATGTGCCAACTCCACAATGACTCTGTTTGGTAAGACTTATTTTCAACTTATTTCAACTTTTAGCTTAATTTAAACTATTTTAATGTATTTGATTCAACTTAACAATACAGTTTATAACTATTTGTAAGTCAAAAATCAATTTATTCTTTGAGTGGGGGAGAAGAAACTTAATTTATAAGTCAAAAATCAACTTATGTTCACAGTTATAAGGTATAATCACTTTCTCACAACTCTACCAAACGAAGCCAATGCAAAAGCCATTTTAGCAAAACTGCATACAAGCCTCATGTGCTTCCTTCATTGTAAGGCACAAAACTCATAAATAAATAAGCAAGGTGGAAAATCCATCAACATCATTGACAACAAAACATCCGAAATATACGAAAATAATCACATCCAAAAAGCTCTGAATATTGAAGCTGGTCACAGGACAAACCGAGTAAAACTCATTAATTTCAGGCTCAAGGGAATTATTGATCAACACTGCCACAATTCTCTACGGAAAAAATTTCTCTTAAACATATCTATTACTACAAGTACAGTTTTGTCCCACATCATCTTCAATGGGAGTTTGTGATCCCTCTTCTTCTGTCTATATCCCTAGCATCTAATTCCAAGTCGAGTTCAGTACCGCATAAGTATTTTTTGTAAAAAAGATTTCCTTTTTTAAATTATTCCATTGACTCCCCAAAATTTGTCAGAACACTCCTAGAAATGTGGCTACAGAGAAAATCAGAAACAGTGCTCCACCCAAGTAGCCAACCTGATTGAAAATTTCGGTTAGTCATAGAATGAATTCCCAACTTCTTTAAACAGGGAAAGAAATTTGTTACTCAGAAGACCATGTGGGGCGGAGGGTGGATTGAGTTTCAGAGAATTTCACTCTTACCAGTTTTTCAGAGATGAAATTGGCCAGAAATGCTCCCCCAACAATGGCGATTGATGTTGCAATAAGATGTCCAACAATTGCCCCGCTTGCCACGCCCCAAGGAGACTGAAAAAAAGAAAAAAAAAAAAGAGCAAATAAAAGTTTGCCATGGTTAGAAGATGAAAGTCGTTTGTTTAAGTAGAAATTTTAGAAAATTTGCACCTGAGCAGCACCAAGGGCAATTGTTGCTAGCATCGAGCGATCTCCCCATTCCTAGAAGCCATAACAATACAGTAAAATTGGAATGTGTGCTTTAGGAAGAACTCTTTAACACTTGGAGAATCCAAATGAACTTGCTTAGATGGTAATAAGGATAGTTGCATATGACATTCGGATTCAACTCCACCATAAGTGTAGATATTTATTTTTGGGTAAATTATATTATTGGTCTCTCTAGTTTGAGCAAATTTCACTTTGGTCCCCATACTTTCAATTTTATCAATTAAAACCGACATTTCCAATTTCATTTCAATTTGATACCTTCGTCAGTTGCCCTAACATTTTAGGCAAAAAAACAATATGTGTGCAACTAAATGGACCAAAGTGGAATTCCAAAGAAACTATAGGGACCACTAGTGTAAATTATTTATTTTTCTTTCTTCTGTGGGAATCACTAAATTTCCCACGTGAGTTGCAAGTGGCATTTTTCTGTCCAAAATGCTAATGACAACTGATAGAGGGACCACATTAAAACATAATTGGAAGTGTAGAGTTTAAATTGATGAAATTGAAATTACGGGGACCAAAGTGAAAGTTCATTCAAACTAGAAGGACCAACGGTGTAATTTACCCTTTATTTTTCAATGGGGTGTGGGAAAAGAAGCATGGAAATGCAATCTACATAATTGTACCACTATCATATAAGAAAATGCTGACTTGTTGCCAAGAAACTGAAGACATAACAGAACCTTAGTTTATGGATAAAATGAAAACAAAAGTCTCCACTCTCGATTGCAAAAATGTTTGACGATTGCAACAAAATTTGGAGAATTGAACAAAAGAAATAATTGTACATTATTCTGAATGTTTGAAAACCAATGGAAAATCAAGCAGAAATCTTGTGAGGACGAAGAATTTTGCTGCAAATAAGGAGATGGAGATGCTTACAGCAAAAAATACGAGGCTGAATGACTCCCACAAAATTTCAAGCGGATTTAAGAGTCGTTTTGACACCTGTGGACATCACATAGAGCAGTTCTGATTAGTTTGGATACTGCCCAAATGCAGAGAGAGAGAGAGAGAGAGAGAGTCTTTTGGAAAGGATGTTGCACACGCATACATCATATTTTGAACAAAAGAAATGAATAATAACGCATCTACATACCGGAGTGTCTTTAAACTCATGGAAAAAGAAGAATCTTATTCCCGAATAAAGCCTTACAAAAGGAACCCAATGCATTTTAATATTTTACCTTTTCCTTTACAAGCTCCTCTGCTTCAACGTATTCACCAAGTTCGGGGATGTTCTTATCACCAGCTGCCTTTGATGGAAGGTCCCACGCATCTTTTATTGATTTGAGGCCAAAGAACATTAAAAGAGTTACTGCTGCATATTCTCCAATGGGTAAGGCTGTTCATAAGACCACACAACACAATGATTAAAGAACAAAATTTCTTATACAAAAATGGATTTTAGGCAGATATACGAGCCCAAAGTTATCATATCTCAAACATGGAACACATCAGAGGATTTTCAGATCTATATAACCACCCGCCACATATCACAATAATAGCTTTTGAACTTGGTCAAGAGACATTGGCTTACTTAACCCTCGTGAAAGTCGACGTAAATGAGAATCTGCAAGGTGGATAATAAGAAAGAGCTATTTACCCTAACTGCAGTATTTAATGTAAAAATAGTAAAAAAACCATGATAGTCCCCTCTCTTGTTCATCTTTGCTATCTTGAAGCTCTGTCAGATTGCCCCTCGGGAATAAACTCAACGCTTGAGATTTTGTTACATGGTTTCTTGCTAGAAAGCCAAAACTCCTGTAGTTCTAGGCTATAGTTTTTAAAGGACACTTTTAAACAACAGGTTCAGCAATTTCTCTTAAATCCATAACCAACTATGCCAGTCCATAATGAGATATCATTCATCAGACAAGATGTGCGTGACCATATCAACTTGAGGCAAATGGTGAAACATGCCACAAGTATGGGATATGGGATATGCACATCTTGTTTGATGAATTATATCTCATTATGGACTGAGTGTCAGACACATCCCATTCCCATACTTGTGGCATGTTACTGTTAAGTTATGAATTGTCCCAAAAACTTAATCTTTTAGAAAATGGGCCCAACAATGTATATTAAGCTATCCATCACTCTTCCTCACGTTTAACCCCATCTTGCACATGGAGATACAAACATCCATAGATAGAGAGAAAAAAGAATACCAAAGCAATTTTTAAAAACCGGACCAGACCGGCCAGTTCAACCGGTTAACCCATCGACCAGTCCAGATACACCTCAGAACCGTTTTATTTTTAAAATAAGCCTTTTTTAGAGAACCCGAATAAACCCACAGTTAAACCGGTCAGCTGTGCAACCAAGTGCCGTTGAAGCAAATTGGCCAGACCATTGAGCACTCAAACAAGCTTGTGCTTGGCGTGGAAAAAGTGTATTTGCTGAAAATCGAACACGGAACCTCAAGTTGGAGAAGCTTACTTGTTTCCACTAGGCCACAATCCCTCCTTGTTATTATATAGTCAATATATATTATTTATTGTTAGAATCTATTTACTCTTAAACACTAGCATGACTAACAGTTTTATAAACAATATTAATATAAAAATATATGTATAAACATATATGTTAGAATGTCTATGTCTATGCCTATGTTATTTATTTGTGTTAAGGATATTACAGTCATTTAGTTATATTGTATTTAGTTTAAATATTTTCTGATGGTTTAGGTTTATTATATGAGCCTAACACTTACGTTCAATACAGTTTCGCTTCTTCTCTTTGTTCTTCCCTCTTCTCTTTAACCCTAGTCTAAGTTTTCCATACTTGTGCACTTCAACTTGGTATCAGAGCACTGATTCGACCTTGCCAATCTGATCATCAGACTATTGAGATTTTTTTGAGGTGACAACGACGTGTTGACGTCATATTCCGTACGATAATGTCAGTGTGACATTAGATTCTGTATGGGCAAGGTTCACCCTTCTTGGTCATCTCTCCCTCCTGATGTCCATGGTGATTTTTGTGGAATTTTTTTGGCACCATCTAATGTGAGTTTTCTATTTTTGAATATTTTTTGTGTTCTTGGTGGGCATTTTTTGATCTGTGCAAAAACTACTTACCCAGCAGTTTTTGGGTGTTGAAATCCTCTCCTAGGGGGCTGAAATTACCCTAGGAGTCTTTGCTTGAGCGTATTTTGCATCTGGGTTGCTGGTTTGTTGTTTTTTCTGCTACTCCCTGTTCAACTCTTCCCATTGTCTTGCTGCTAAGTTGGTTTTTTGTGTTGAAATTCATTCCTTGGGAGCCGAAACTGATATAAGACTCCTTATTTCAGTTTGTTTTGCATTTGTGTTACTGGTTGTTGGATATTTTCGCTGCTCTAGTCTCGGTTGTGTTGTTTCCTTGGTGATTTTGGATATTTTTGCCATATCTGTGTTCCCTGGTTGCTTACTACTTCTATTTTGGGTATTATGGCTGAGGACAAACCTGTTCCCAAATCCTCTATGATTAAGGATGATGAGTTACCCAAGTCCATTACCACAAAGAAATTAAATGGTTTGAATTATCTCGCTTGGGCGCATGCTGTTAAGATTTTTTGGTGGCAAAAAGAAGTCGCGGTACCTTACTGAACTTCCACTTGCTGAGGATGATAAAAGCTATGATGATTGGTTAAGTGAGGATTTGTGTGTTATGGGTTGGTTGTGACACAGTTCGGAACCTCATGTTGCTACTACAGTGGAATTTTATGACACCTCTAAGGACATTTGGGACTCCCTTGATGATTCATTTTCCAATCAAAGTAATGTTTCTTGTGTTTATGAGTTGTATGAGCAGATTTTTGCTACCCGACAATCTGGCCTCCCTCTTCTTGAATATTACAGTGGCCTTAAGACCATGTGGGATCAATTATTGCAACACCAACCTTTTACTAATGATTTGACTTAACAAAAGAAATATTGAGAGGAGTTTATGATGACATCCTTGCTTTTAGGCTTAGATTCTGATCTACGGGGTTTTCAAAGATTAGATTATCACCGGTGAGACTTTACCTTCTACTGATAATGCCTATTCTCGGTTGTTGCGTTCTTTACTGGAATAAGGTTCTTCCACATTTGGTTCCTCTCATCCTTTATCCACTAACTTTACCTTCTGCTGATAATGCCTATTCTCAGTTGTTGCGTTCTTCACTGGGATAAGGTTCTTCCACATTTGGTTCCTCTCATCCCTTGTCTACTTCGGCTTTGATCACTAGCAGTGGTAACCATGGGCCTACTCGGGGTAGTTTTCATGGTAGCTTGAGTTCTCGTGGATCTATTGGTTGACGTGGTTCTCGCGGTGGACATTATTCTCATAGATCTCGTGGTGGTGGTCGTGGCACTGGTTATGTGTCCCGTGGTGATTGGAAGTGTACTCATTGTGGTTATGTGGGTCACTCTAAACCCTTGTGTTGGCAGAAATATGGTAAACCTGATCATGTGAATTAGGCTATGGATGCTCCGTCCTCTCAATCAACTTATTTTCCCTCTAGTTCAAGTGATTCCCCAGATTAATCTCATAATGCCCTCACCACTAAGATTAGTGAGCTTACTGAGATAGCTAATTCTCTTCGTATCGCACTTCCTTCATCCTCTACTGCTAGCTCAGGTAATATTGCATGTATAGCTCAATCTCCCCAACCTTGGCTTCTAGACTCTGGAGTTAGTTCTCATATTTCTGGTAATTCCTTTCTTTTTCATTCTCTTCGTCCGGTTACCAGATATATTATACTCGCTGATAGCTCTTCTCGACCTGTTAATGGCCAGGGCACTCTTCAGCCCACTTCATCTCTCTTTACCCTCTAGTCTCTATGTTAACTCCTTTCCTTTTAATTTGCTTTCTATTAGTCAATTAAATCAAGCTCTAAATTGCTTGGTAACCTTTTCTCCTCCCTCTTCATGTGCTTTACAGGACTTCCGGACCAAGAAGATGATTGGTTTGGGGCATAAGAATGATGACTTATATTTCTTGGACACTGCTAGCTCTCCTACTCCTAGTTCTACTGTTTTGAGTGCTACCGTGTCTCCCTTACAATGGCATTTCCATCTCGGTCATCCATCCTTGGCCAAGCTTAAGTTAGTTATTCCTAGTTTAAGTCCTATGTCTGAACTTGAATGTGAAGCATGTCAGCTTGGCAAGCATCACCGTAGTTCCTTTTCTAGTCATAGTATTAGTTGTGTCTGCGTCTTTTGATGTAGTCCATATAGATATATGGGGTCCTTCTCACACTCCTACTATTAATGATTTTTTTTTTTATCTTGTTATTTTCGTGGATGATTATTCTAGGATGACTTGGTTGTTTTTACTATGGCAGCGGTCTGACTTGCCCCAAATAATGTCTAAGTTTTATAATGAACTTTTTAGCCAATTTGGGAAACATATTAAGATATTTCAGTCTGATAATGCCTTAGAATATATGCAGTTTGTTGTGAATAATTTTTGTAATGGTATTATACATTAAACTAGTTGTGCTCATACGTCCCAACAAAATGGTATTGCCGAACAGAAACACCGCCATTTGTTAGATGTTGCTCGGACCTTAATGTTTAACATGCATGTTCCCAAACAGTTTTAGGTTGATGTTGTGCTTGCTACCTGTTCTCTTATTAACCGAATGCCCTCTGCTATTTTACAAACCAGTCACCCTTCTCTCACTTATACCCTAATTATGCCCCATTTCCTCTTCCTCCTCATGTTTTTGGTTGTGCGCCCTTTGTTCATATCCTTGATCCGGGGCTAGATAAGTTATCTCCCCGTGCTCGCAAATGTGTTTTTTTAGGTTATTTGCATACACAAAAAGATTATCGTTGTTATCATCTTGAGTCTCCGTTCTTTGTTAGTGCCGATGTTATCTTTTTTGATTCCACCTCCTCCTTTTCCTCGTCTGGTCAGCCGTTGTCGGATGATCTTATCTCTCGTCGTGAGAGGGAGCCATCTTTTTCCACTCCTACACTTCCAGTGCCCTTTGTTCCCCCGTCCTCTTCTATTGGTTTAGATTCTTCTCCGTCATCTCCTCTACAGGTGTATCAACGATCCCAAGCTCGTCGCGTGGTTTCTTATGGCTCGGCTGCTTCATCTTCTTTGTCAGAGGTTCCTGTCCCTCTATCTGTGCCATCTGCTGATGATTTACCTATTGCATTGCCCCAAGGTAAAAGTACTTGTACTCAGCACCCTATTTCAAATTTTGTTTCTTATGCTCGTCTTTTCCCTAGCTTTCACTCCTTTGCATGTAACCTGTCTTGTCTTTCTATTCCCTCTTCTTGTTAGCAGGCTATGTCCATATCGAGTTGGAAACATGCTATGGATGAGGAGATGAGTGCTCTTCATCAAAATCAGACTTCAAAA